CATTCTACCATATCCCCTATCCTGTATTTTACTGGTATATAAAATACCAGTTCTTTCAAAACTGCTGCAGCTTCCAGAAATCTTTAGTCTTGATGAAAAAAAACATATGGCAATAACCTGAATCGAGAGAGAACTGCATGATGGTCTTACTCCGAATTGGAAGATAATTGCTGAAGCCCATGGTATTGTATATTCAACCTTGTGCTATGCAATCAGAGGTCGTGGAAGTAGGAAAGAGAGTATAGAAAAAAAGTGTAAATTAACAGTAAGTGAGGAGAAAGCTATTCTGAATAGATGTAGTTGTTGAGCTCATGGCTTCAGCCTGCGTAACATGCAGTGGTAAGGGATATGTTACAAGGTTTGCTACAATTAAAAAGGCCTGAAGGAATCATTGGAATGCATTGGGTTTATGATTTTATTAAATGCCATGACCAGTTAGCGAGTGCATTCAGTAAGCAGATCGATAACTGCCGTGCTGTTCAGGCAAATAATCCTATTGTACTTAATATGTACTTTAATTGTGTAAGTTATTTTGATTTTATTTATAATATTTATTTATGACTTAAAACTAATACAATTAATTAAGTTAATGGAACTTATAAACTGCCATAATGTGCATCCTGAAAATCTATACAACTTCGATGAAATCGGATTTCTTATGGATGCATCCCATTCAGAAAAAGTTGTAGTTAATATTAGAGAATTACAACTTAATAGAGCATAAAGATCTTTTCGAATATCAACAAATGTGCAATAATATTTTCACTCTGCTAATATGTACAATAGATAGAAACTGAGAAATGGCAATAGTAATTGAAGCCATATGTGCTGATGGAGGAAATCTTAGTCCAATGATTATCTACAAGGCAGAGGAATCCAGAGTTAGATGGTTCGATCCAACTCTACCTTTTACAGGAGATGTTCTTTGCAGCTATTCTCCAAATGGATAGACAGATAATGAGATGGGGTTGGGTTATCTAAAGCATCACTTTGGTTCACAAAGCCTATCAGTAAAGAAAGTAAATGTCCAGTATTGGATGATTATATTTGATAGTTATGAATTTCACATATCCTATAGATTTTCATAGTACTGCATTGATAATCGTATTATCGCATTTTGTCTACCTCCACATAGTACAAATCTCCTTCAACTACTAGATGTTGGAATCTTCAGACCATACAAGAACTATTATGCTCAAGTTCTAGAAAAAGAATTTCATTATGGATACTATGAAGTATCAAAAGCCAACTTTTGGTAGTTCCTGTCGCAGGCACGAGAAAATGCCTTTACAGTACAAAATGTTATATCAGCTTTTACAACAACTGGCATCAACTCACTCAACAAATATATAGCACTTCAAAATGTTCCCGCATATAACCCAGTAAAGTATACCGATCCTAAAGTCATGTACTATAATCCACCTAATCCAAAATTGAAGAAGTCTATATATCAGAGTCCCTTCCCTGTGCTGTCCATCTCGTTCCAATCCCAACCAATTCATATCCTGGAATCTCAAGCTATCCTATCATCAACCAACAACTCAAGTGTCCTTCTTCGAAACTGAGCGTGACGATCCCAAACCCCACTATTACGTGCTCTATCACCTGGGATTCCAGCAACACCAATAACTCCAAACTCACTGAAACGATTAAGTGATAACCTATTCCAATTAGCTAGTAATCTCTCTCTTAGTCCATCTAAGATTTGAATCCATAAGTTTAAGCTTATCTGGTTGATTTATTCTGCCCGGTTTGCCCATGCAAAGATTCATCAGACAGAGGAGGCATGACTTCAGCAAAAAGCTGAAGAACAGAAACAAAAAGCTCACGACCAGCCATGTACATGGAAGAAGATTCCCACCCATAGACAAGCCTTTACGATAGCAGATAATCTGCGACGTTGGAGGAAAGATATTGTTAGTGAAGTGTATAAAAAGATACGAAAAATGGCAGAGAAAGAACAGAATCCTCGATCTCAAATTAGACTCAGCCATGAAGTCTTGCATCAGAAAATTGAGGAAGTTGAAGTCAAGATTAATGGAGTAGTGGATAAGATTGTCTTGTTAGATAATAAGTTCGCAGAGTTCGTTCAAGAAGGATTAGAGGTAACTGACGATAGCGATTTGGGTGAGGATGATGAGAAGGCCGATGAGTCCATAGACAGTGATGAGAGTATTGGGCATGTTGCTGAACATGATGGTCTGAATCAGACAATGCTCAATTAGATTTTATTAGCTTGTTGGCCTTTTTGTAAGGTATTAATTTGGACTTACTTTTTTTTTCTTTTCTTTTTTTCTTCCTCTTAATTACCTTCATGTCCACTAAGCAAGAGGGGATGAAATGTGTTGTTGCTCCGGATGTGTTGTCTTGTTGGTGTTGTTTGTATTTGACGATGATGGTATTGAGTGAAGAGAAGGTGGAGCACATGTGCTGATAACTAATTAGCCCTGGCCGCCAAGACAGTAAGCGGCAGCGCCACTCTCGCGACTCGGGAATCTCGCAACGCCGGAAGAGACTGTACAGATGTTGAAACCCTTTCACTAACTCAATCCCCCACGCCATCACAATCTGATGTACCACCTGACCGCCGCTAACCCCGCCCACCACAACTATGATGCCTCAATTACTTTGCAAGTTTATACAAAATATAATACGAAGGTAGTACCCGAGGAAATCCGTGATGTCGAATTGAGCAACCTCCCAATATATTTAGACTCCAACGGTTCCTCTGCCATTTTCTCATTTGTCATCAAACAGTGCTGAACTAATCACCTGGTTGCATGCATACGGTACCTGACAATGGTGCTCCGGTGGGTAAACAACCGGCCGTTAACGGGATCCAAACTGTTTTAATCAGCTTTCACAGGTTTTGATGCTCAAATCGCGAAGCAGACCAAATCCTAGGAGAAATCGCAGGAGTTGCTTCACGAAACGGATACATCACCATATGCCGGATTCCAAGCACATGCTAAGGGCAAGTGCGGGCAGCCAGCGGGTGCTATTCTGGCCCAACAGCAGCGGTACGATACTGGCAGTAAACCCAAGCGTTCAGTCCATCCATCATCAGGCACGGACGGATGGATGGTAGTGTATGAGAGGATGCCAAACTCTATGAGTAAACATGCCAAATTTTAGTACATTTCTCTCTTACTTTCTGAATTGCAGAGTTGTTTGTAATGATAACCACCCCTCTCCTACCCACCCTCCATCCACAACTCATTCTACCTCCGCTTCGACTGCGCATGCGGGGGTTGTGTCTGGGCACAGTAAACCCAAGTGTCCAGTTCTCCTGCCTCCAGGTGCGGACGGGACAGACAACGGGCCCTCTGGGTTTCCTGAGATCTGGCATGTGCCAGGTCCCAGGTGATGGCAGGTGACGGGCAGGCACTGTAGGTAACGGTCGGGCCCTGCAGGTAATGGCTGGGCCCTGCAGAATACCACCAGAAGATGTCATTTGTATCATAGAAGACAGACACCGTGCCCTGCTATCCTTACCCCCCATGCCCATGACGCCTGGGACAATACAAGCCCGCCGGCGGCCGGACCCAACGGTTCGGAACACTGCGCAACCGATTGCTCTACCACTGCAATACCAAATCAACGCGCTAGACACTGGCATGCCCCAGCTGGAATATGCCATTGAATGCTCCGGTGTTGAACATGCCCTGGGCGACCTATTTGAACACACCTCATGGGTGAGATCAGCCACGATTTCAGCACCCAGTACCAAGCACTCCAACCGTTCAGCATTTGCATCAATCCAATCCTGGAAGCAGCAAATGAGCAGCAACAGACATAGATATCGAAATTCACGGGCAGGGCGGCAGCAGGGTTGTAAAGCCAACCAGTACAGCTGGTGGAGTAGTGACAAGGGGTGATGAGGAACGGGAACAGGACCCAAATCAGGAATTACGCGAGAGTGTGAACCGGGTTATCGACCTGTTAACTTAAATTCAACCAATACCCAATTGTTCACCGACTGGCCGGCTTCTACGCTCCACATCTCGCGATTCAGGCGCCGGCGAAGAATTCACATGCATTTCCCTAGTCCTATCAGTTGAAGGTAGAACCTGAAAAGCAAGTGGGAGCATACAACCCAGCAAACCGGGCCAAAGGTGAGAGAACCGGGGTGATATTTCTCGATGCGCCGTCGGGAGTAACTAAAGTCCAAGCCGTTGTTGTTCTGAAGGATTTGGAGGGTTTAGTGTTGAATGAAGGTCAGTATGTAGCCGTCTCGAGAGCAAATATTCACAAACTATCCTTGCCGCAGGAGTCGGTCAATCCAGCGCCTTAGAAATCAACAACCCGTTCGCCAACCGAGTAGATTAACCGTGACAATAATTCTCAGTGCGGTAGGGTGGATCGAGTGCTTTGGGCCCTGGAATATGAATATCCAGTATCATACGTCGTAATAATCTTATATATTACAAGACCCTCACAATCACAACACATCCACCTTATCACAAATTCTCACTCGTGAGCCTACCCTCGAGCCCAGCCCGCTTTCACCGGCCACCTCCGACATACTCGCGCGGTTGCGAAACAATGGCTTACTAACCCTATGCTTCCAGTATCGGTCGAGCGCGGGGCTGGTTGGTTAGTCCTCAAGTATTTATCGTACGGTAAGGCGCAAGCGGTGGGTTTGGGGGTGCGCTGATTCTTCCCCGGTGCATTGGTTGGATTGGGTTGGATTGTGGGGTTTACCGTTTTGCGATAAGTATACTAGTATGATATGTACGAGCACGAGTACCGGTATGGCGCTTGGTGCTACCACACCACAGTAAGAAGGGTGCGGGATTGTGTGTGTAAAAACAACTCCAAGGGATGAATGGGGCTCCAGAAGCTTTACTAGCGCAGTGCGAATTGAAGGAATGTTCATAGAGATGGATTTGGTTTAGAATAAGGCATTAGTTGGAATAGAGGTTTTCGTATATTGAGTTATTCTATTGCGGTATTGGCATCGTGTCATCGTAATAGTTACCTCACTTTGTTCGCCGAAAGGTTTCATCGGTCCGTCCAATCTGACCCACCCTATACCGGTACCGGGCCGGGGAAATAATAAAAACGAATTCATTAACGGCCGCCCAAGGCCGACCTCTCCAATGCCCAACTTTCCCAACGCTTCCAGAATACCGCCATATTCGCCGCCACCAGTAAATCCATCATGTAGAGCCCGTCGCTGTGGCAGACTAACATTCCTAGTTTCGATTTACTGCTGGTGATCACCTCGGGGGCTTCCCTCCCGGGCGCAGCGGAGAGGACAGTGGTGGACGGGGGTTTGAATTCCAGCACGCTAAGGAGGGAGGATTTCGAAGAGCGTGTTGGAGGGTAGTATTTGCACTGCTCATTATATTAGCTTCTTCTCCGAGATAGAGGAGGGATTAGTGGTGGGATGGTTCATACCTTTAAAAACTTGCCCCCCGCCTCATCCTTGAACCCACATCTCCCCCGCTCCTCCCCCTTTCCCGGGCTCCACAGTGCATCAAATACATACCCTCTCTTTTTCATTTTCTCCCCCACGGGCGTCGCAGCCGCACTTTCCTTCTCGCGGGGGTCAGAACTGGTGCTTGTGCTCCTCCCCCTCTTGTGCCCGATATTCTTAACCCGTGACCAAAATCCCGCCCCTTCCATCCACATTTCCCGTCTAAACCCGATAGAAACAAGCTCGTCCGGGTCCACGGTCGGCTCCACAAACTGCTGATACCCCGCCGTCATAATATCCACCAGGATCCTCTGCATGTCTTCCTCCGCGTTGCTGGGGGAGGATATTCTCGCCACGTTCCACTGGGCGCCCGTTGCCGGATCACGGCGTACAATCGTCATGGTTGGAATCGGACGTGCCGGGGAGCGGGAAGGATGCCTGGACCTCGTTATGGATTGTGAAGACCACCGGCGGTGAGAGGGTGGGCGGGGTAGCGGTGGTGAAAGGGTGGACGGAGAAATACTGCTTGTGTTAACGACGGGCTCAACGTGGATGTAGTATAGGCAGGCGTTCACGTCTTCTGCCGTGACGGTGGATTGTAGTGGGTGAAGGGTTGTCAAGAAGAGGTCTTGACTGCCAGGAACTCGGACTATGTATAGCATTAAGGAGGATAGTACGGGGGCGTCGGGGTTTATGTATTGGGGTGGGTGGTCCGCCAGGTCCACTATGGGGCTTAACGAGTCTGCTTGGATGGCCGCCATTGTTGGTGGGAACTTGCTGTTCGGGACTCTCTACGCCGTACTGGTAATTGAACTGGATAAGGGGGTGAAGAAGGAAGAAAGAGAAGAGGATGAGAAGAAAAAGAGATGCACGGATATTTGAATTATAGCTCCGACAACACACGGCAAGTAAATTACTGCTATGCGGCTGAAACGGGGTCTTCGTCACCGGATGTGGCGCAACTTCGGCTTGGGTAGTCTACCGGTATGATACCAGACCCGCGCCGTAGGAGAGGTGGCGTGAAAGAATTATCTATCTCCGGCCCTCTTGACCCCGAGTTTCAAAAGATCAGAATGAGTAAATTACCTTGTGGAGAGGGAGCTGCTGTGAACTGTGGATTCACCAGGTATGATACCGGTATGATACGTTGGATGTGGATCATGTTGTGGTAGGGTTAGGGCTATTGATGATTAAGTTGTGATACATTCTTGGCAGGCACCCCAGGACATGGCAGCAGAGCCCCGTAGCATGATGTCAATAATCCATTCCGAGGCTCCGGAAAAGGTACGATATCATAATTATCATGAAGAGCTGAAGAAGGGTGGGTGGCGGGTAACCCTACGGTAGGAGGAGGTGTTCATATGGGACACCAAACACCGATATAACGAGGCTCACACCCCGTGACTAACCAGTTACAAGCATAGCTGTGCACCGCGCAGTCGAGTGAGTACTGATGAACAGGGGTTCACACCTGAAGAGAACGGGAGTAGAAACTGATCGACCCCCCCCCTAGGACCGGGTCTAGTCATCCATTGCCGGGCAACTTTGCTGACGCATAGGATGTTCTCCGTCGGTACCGGTATCCCAGTCACCAGCTGGTGGCGACTCATCCAGAAGATCGCTCTGTCACTCGCGGGAAAGAGAAGAGCAGCCTAGAAACAGCAGAAGACGGAAAAAGACCAGAACCTCTAAGCAGGAAGCAACAACCAATCCAAATCTAGATGCGGAATTTCCATAACTTTATAGAACGAGTGGAATGAGAACAAAAAAATAATACTGAATATCCCCATAACTACAAGGTAGTAACTTACATCTTCACCCATACGCCAAACTGCGCTGGGATGAAATCACAGATCCTGCAGGGGTTTTCCGGCGGTTTCTCTTTCTTCCCTGCTTGCGTTCCGCCCACCTTTCCAGGTTTTGTCGCGCTGTTGGCGGGCCGTGGCCTTACCAAAAGATCCAGGCATGCTATTGATTCCCCCAATGACATTTCGTTCTTATTTTTACCCCCCCCCCCTTCCTCTGCCAAGAGAGAAAAAGAGAGAAAGAAAAGTTTTTGGGGTGAGGTGGGCAACTCAGATAAGATGGGTTAGACACTGCTCCTTAGGTTTTGCGGTGCTGTACGCTTCTAGAGCAAGGGCTAGGGCAGGGTCAGCTATCTAAGTGAGCACCCATGCCTCTCACCTCTACCGCACCCCAACCTACAGAACCAAGAATGGGAGCAATATGATAACTTCAGAACATTCAATTTTACGAAAATAAATAAACACACGATCTAGCGCCAAATGCAAAAAACTAATAAACACAGAAATGTATGAAAAGAAATATGATAACATTTTTTTCCGTCTCCTCGAGGTAGAGGATGGTGCGAACCAGTATGCAAGCCCATGACCAAAAACTAAGAAATTGTAAAAGGCAGAAGAGGGAAAGGAATTACCTGTCAAACCGAAGGGAATGAAGGGAGCGTATTCAACAATCCAATCCAACCCAACAAACACCATCGCACAAGTCCGGACTCCCAGTGACAATTTACTTCAATCCACCAACCCAAAGGAGAAACAAAACAAAATGAAAATACTTATATAGCCTCCATCCCCTCACCCACCACTCCACCACACCCCCCGGTGCTTGCCTCAGGATCACTCCGACTCCTAGCCATTTCCACGCTTCCAACATCTTCACTCCCGTTCAGTTGCTCATCCGGCGCACTACTCCTTCTCCCGCTAATACTACCACTCCACCCCCACACCCCGCCAGTGCTCTCGCCATCCGGGGTCACGGGCGCAACGATGACCCGCGGGATCGCATCAAACGGTATACTCATGCCGCCGATTCCCAACCCCGGACTTCCCGGTCCGCTGCCGGCGACGTGGCCCACAGGCTCGGATACGACTCTAGTCATCTGCGCAGCAGAATGCCCCGGCGAGTCGGCCGCCTGCAGCATCGCAATCCTGGGCGATCGCGCACCGATGGCACCGCCGGACCTGCCCCGGCGCATGCTGACCGAATTCGCCGCGCCAAAAGACGACCCCAGCGGGGAGTACGGCGATGCGGAGGGCCCGTGAGATGATAGTCCGTGGTGTGTATTCGTAGAGGAAGAAAGGGAAGGGGGAGATCCAAAGATCGGTTCGGACCAGGCGAGACTCGCGGAGCGGTAGCGTGGTCCAACGATGCTGCGGGCTATGGGGCTGGAGGATAGGTCGGTATCTCGGGAGGGTGCGTAGCCGGGTGAGAACGGATGCGGGGCCGCCAATGGCATGTCCAGGTATCCGCCCTCGCCCGGGTAGTTTATTGGGGTTCGCGGTTGGCTGCCTTCGTGCAGTGGGAAGTCGCCGCCGGAACGTGCAGGGAGGGAGTTTGGGTGCGCGTTTTGGGAGGGAAGGCTTTGGCTCCGATCATGGCCGGGGTTAGGTATGTGGGGTGGGAATGGGGACGGGCGGTGGAGGTGATCCAGGTCGGAGAGCGGGGTCCTACCCCGCGAGTGGGGACGTGGGGAGCCGTGGCCGGTGGCTCCTACTGGGGGGGGGTTCCCCGGGAATGTTGACCTGTGCAAGAGCTCTTGCGCAGTGGGGGAACTCGGCCATTGGGGTCCTGAATGCGTGGTCGTCGGAATGGGGGGTCCGGGTGTCCAGGCTCCCTTGAAGAGTGCTTGGACGTATGATAATATTCCGCCCTTTTTTGGCGATGAGGGGGAGTCACCTGCTGCTTCTGTTGGTGACTGTGGTGAGCTTGCTGATGTAGAGGTGGGCTGCGTCGTGGGACTGAATATCACCGTTTCCGGGGTGACTTGTGAATCTGGTGGCTTGGCACGGACTTGGACGTGCGTTTGTCCCGGAACCCAGGCGCTCGGGAGCCTAGCTGGCTTGTACCTGTATTCAATACGTGACTGGTCTATCTGTGGCATTAAAGGGCGGGGGCTCAGTCTTGGTCTTGGTGTTTCTCCCCAGAGTTCCTCGGAATCGGAATCGTGGGCGTGGTCATCGCTGAGGGGTGGTATATTCCAGTTTCGAGTGGCAGAGGGATTTCTAGAACTGGCCCCCGAACGCGTAGGTGGTCTCGATTGCCTCTCGTCGTAGTCTTGGATAAGCTCCGGTTCATCATGGACGGTGTCATCCTCCCACGTTGGCCTCCTGGAACTCTCCGGAGATGATGTCTCTGGAGCACTATCACTCGTGCTACCACTACGGAACATACTGCACCTAGCCCCCGCCTGATCGTCGTTTATCGCAGTCTTTAGATCGTCCAATACCATCACCAAGTCTTGGGTGTCCACCTCCCGCTTCTTTGCATGCTGCAGCAACCTTAACCCATGAACCTCGTACCGTCGATAATCCGATACCAAGAACCTTGCGTCCGAACGCTTGTAAGCTTCCATGAAACGGAAAGAGCCGCAAAACATCTTGATCGCAAATTGGAGCCACTTCCTGACGTCTGACTTTCGCATCCGAGAAATACACACATCTTGGACGACACTATGCAGGACTAACGTATCCACCTGGATATTCTCATCCTGCTGGCCACACCGGTCAACAAGTGAGTACGCCAGCAAATGCCCAATAGTGTTATTCAGGTCCCGTCGTCCACGGTCCTTCGCCATCAGTTTGACACTAGGCGGCAACTCTCTCATTCCTGGCTTCAGCATGCGAAACGGGATCTCCCGGTGCATGAAGGCTAGCAGGCATAATAGATTCCTTGCTTCTTGGTACCTATCGCTGTGCTCTTCCAGACGGTCGAAAATTATGTGGAAAGGCTCTAGATCCTCCCGATCCACAAACGGTCGCTTTTCGTACTTTCTTAGGTAATCTGATATTGAGACTTTCTTCCCCTTGATGTAACTCCCGGCAGAGTGTATCGTGAGTGGGATATGTCCTAGGTGTTGTACTAGCTGCCTTGCCGCCAAAAGTTCTGTATCGGATGGGTTCTTGATTTGTGCGTAGTGCAACAGCATCCTGATGGCTTCGTCGTCCGTAACCGGCTCCAACTCTAGCTTCTCCGGGGCACCTAGCCGGGCAGATCCTGCGAAAGATGAGTTCAAAGTGGTCAATATGATACTTCCCGCTTTACTCTTGGGTATATATTCCGCTAACAAGTCCACCTCTCCGTCCGTTTCTGCGTTTGCCCCGTCAAGGACTAACAGCCAGTCCTCATGTTTCTGAAACCACCCCATAACCCGCAACCGAGTAGTCGTTTTCGGGTCGTCGTTCAAACTAGCCCTGCTGCTGTTTCCACTGCACTCGCCTAGAAGTCCCAGTTCTTCGGCGATCATACAAAACCCCAAATCTAGACATTCGGTAGAAAGCGTTCGCATCATAGGTTTGCAATCGATCCAGAAGGCACCCCCACGATAGTGGCTTTTCCTATTGAAAAAGTACTCCCTTGCCAAATGAGTCTTTCCGGCGCCGCTGAGTCCGGAGATGGTCACTGCGCCCTGGGTCGGCGACTGTAGGATCGCATGTAATCTGAACAGTGCTTCTTCTCGACCTTCGAAGTATTTGTTTTCTTGTAGCGATAGCGGTTTGGCGAAGGGGGTGTCTTTAATTGCTAGCAAAGCAGGTTCAAGGACGTCTACGTACATTCATGAACCGTCAGTTAGGAAATAACTAATTGAGAAAAACATGGTTTCGATATGCTTAAAAGATAATCTTGAATGAAGGAGATAATAAAAACTCAAATCCACCGAAAAACCCGTTCGCGGCTGGAAGATCTACGGGAAGAATCCTCGGGCTCAGATACAGAATCCGGAAAGAGTGTATCACCTTGTGCCATTGTAGCTCTGTCACCTTGCCCCATTGTAATTCTGTCACCTTGTACCATTATAGTTCTGTCACCTTGTCCCATTATAACTCTCCTACCGGTGCCCGCATCCGGCGACGGGCTTCTAGTCCTCGGCATAATGGGCGGAGGGGATAACCCAACATCAGCATGGATATCGTACTGGATTATATTAGAAACCAAATCATGCCTCGCCTGGACGTTGCGACGATCCTCTTGCATCCACTTCATCTCGATAACCGTCGGAGCCTCTGCGACAAAATCGCACAAACAACCCGCGAGCGTGTTCCAGCCCGGAGAACCCTCGTCCCGAAACTTGCACATTTCGCTGTGCGTCGCGTGAATGGATGCCTTGCCAGCGTCCGGCAAAGCCTCTGGCACCGCTGATGCATACTCAACAATCTATCCCGACCCGTTAGCTCTTGTATCCTTTAGATAAGCTTGAATGCGAAGGGCGCATACCAAGTTTGGCCCCATTCCCGGAATGGCCGTTTTGAGTTCCTCCCAAAAAAAGAATAACCGGAAATCTCTGCTAATCCCTAAGAACCCATCGGTGATGTTCTGCAGGGTCTCGCTATTCTTCTCGAGAGCTGTGATCAGCACGCTGTTGCTATCGACCCAACTCTTGGACGAAACCATTCGCACGAGCATCTCGGCCATTTTTCCCCACCGCGCTAGATCGGCGCCCATATGCGGGGTCCCGAGGAAGAGAATCCCGTAGGTTGAAACCTTAATAGACCGAAACATGATGTTATGGCTAAGGTTGCAGTTGGCAGAGTGGATCAGCGCCTATAAAATTAGTCTCTGCCCGCCCGAAGCCCAGAACACACGAAGAGACGCAATACCCTTTTAACGATGATACCGCCTAAAGAATGGCAGATGAAAACGATCGGTCGCCGTTTCTCGCCCGCTTTCTAGAATACCACCAGTCAGTGTCAACGACCCTCCAAGCATGCCGCAACGCGGCAAAAACACCGGCCAAACGAACCCTCCGATAAAAGTGCAGCTCTGTAACCAGCGTGGTCGCGTGATGATGTATCATATTGGTACTGGCACTCTCAAACATCTTGGTTGGGTCCGCATCGTAGCCGTAGGCCAAAATTCTAGCGCTGGGTACCTCCCCGGGCAGTAAATCTTTGAGCCAGAAGACATCTTTTTCGTCCGGCTCGGTCCCTTTCGCAGTCCATGTTCTGTATACGTCGCCTTTGAGGCCGTGAACAGCCACGATGCTGTTTGTCGTGTTGGGTTCATTGGTTAGCGAGGATGAATAGGAGATGAGGAATGGAAGATGGAAGCGAAAAGAGGCAGTTGACTTACTCGACCTTGGGATCATCTCCCTTCCATACGAGCTTAACTCCAATACTGGAGTGCTTTGTCGACGCCTAATCAATGAATCAATCAATCGGTCGACACTGTCAGAACTTTAAACACGCATATGTATAAACAGGTGGGTGGATAGAGGAGCAACAAACCATTTGTCGGGGAACCTCAAGAGTTTTTCCAGAGTAACTTAGAGAGGGGGGGCGGTGAATGAAGATGGGTGGGGGGGGGTAAGCAAGTGGCTATCATACAGGATTATATATAATCTTTTTTACAACATTTGAAGTGAAGAAAATAGTGATCAAGATGTGGCCATATCATAATATTTCTATTTCAGCTTTAATGCTTCCCCCCCCTCGAGAAAGTGGCGGTATGATGGTCAAGGGTATGGAGTATAGCCGCAATGGGCAGGGATGTTAAGATTCGTGGGAACTACTGTATCATACCAGTACCGGTGCTTGTACTCAATTACTGGTACATCCCCTCCCCACATGATACCCCTCGGCCTCACAGTAACTATGATACTCGAGTACTGCACGGCACGGTAATACTCACATCCTGTAGCGAACTCTCCAAACCAGTAGCGAGAAGAGGAGATCATATGCTGCTGTGTAATGTGTGTTCTTGCGTTGAAACCGCCCTGCTAAAAAAAAAAAACTCCCTTGTGTGTGGGCAGCTGTCTACTCGAGTACGCACTCGAGTATCATAATTGTGGGAGACTCCCTGTTCTTGTGTGGGGAAAAAGTGCACTTTCTTCTCCCACAACTGCCACCACCACAACCTGGATAAGCCCCTCAGGTTGAACGTCTCTGGAGTGGCGTGTAGCGCTACTAGTTAACGCAAAATACCCGAGTAGTAAGACGAAGAAAAGGGGAAAAAAGTACAAGTATTGACGGTTTTCGGTCGAATCATGATACTTGGATGTACGCCATTCGCCCTGCAAAATATGAACAAAGCCTCACCATCTGTGGTTAGGTAAGCTAGGCATAGTAGCATCCCGGCGGCTCCCAGCTACAATCCAATCTTAGCAACAAGGGGAAGCATGATGTGCCCCCCGCCACCTTACTAGGCATCGCCAGCTATGATACCATGGTACAAACCCCTAGATACTGATAATAGCAACTACTCGAGTATGATACCTCTCCAAATACCACACCACGCTTTCACCATTATGCCCTAGCACACTCCAGAGTTAGTTAGTTTTTTTTACTTTGTCAGATTTACTCTTCTGTGGAATGGATGTTGTCGGGTCTAATGTCCATAACGTTGACTGGGGGTACTCGAGTACATTTCTTTTATCATTATGATCGTACAAACATAATGCAAGGTGCTCGTACCCGTACTTTGTACGAAGTTTATTACGCTCTGTATGGCAGTGTTCGTGATATCATAAGTAACGTTTCCTTTTCTTCACTCTACCCTGCCCTACCGGTCTACCAGTCGTGTTATGATACTCGAGGATCATACAGGTTTTTTTTTTTTTGAGGCCACTCCACACCAGGCATCCATTCGTGGTGAAGGCGGAAGAATAAGTACCTTGGGGAGTTTTCGAGTATCGCCACGCGTAATGATGACTTTTCGCTTTTGGGCCTACCGTAATGCATAATATCTCACAGTAACAGTCACCTGATGATTTGAAATTGAAGAGGAGAGGAGTCACGAATGTTAGGGAAACTTAACTGTGCCCCCCACCGCCCCCCGACTGATTGGTGCCACTTGCTTGGCGAGCCAGGAGCCACTTGGAAGTATGTTCTGGAGTGACCTCCTTCTCTCCGTAATCCAGGATTCAGGTTTCGAAGTTTGTGGAAAGAGGAAAACCCTAGGCAGGCACAGCAAGAGATTAGAGAGGGCAACTATCAAAGAGATATCGTATCATAGACGCTACGTTTTATGACACTTTCTCCCCCTACACTTCCGAAATGGTGATACCGGGAGAGGTATTGCAGGACAGTGTGTGGAAAGACTACTATGATACGGCAGGCAGTCGCGTTGAGTAGGGGATGTGCGAAAAAAAATAAAAAATAAACATGAAGAACAGAAAAAGAGAAGGCAAAACAGTGCCTCGAAGAAAAACCACAAACGCATTAACTTTCTCCGCCGTGCTACGATGGACGCATACGTATTCTGCCTCTTAAATAAAGCCCCAACCGCTCCCAATCATGTAGTACCTGAAAATCCGAGGCCCCAGGAAAAGTCGCCTCACCTTTCAACAAGGCATACAATCCTTGGTGAGCATTCATAGCGTATCACTCGACCACAGCGACCGCGATGACTTATCCCTTCTTAGTCCATCAGCAATCTAACCTCCAGATTCCGAGCGATACTCTACGCCCCCTGCTTTACAATCTCGGCGCATCTCTCCCCAATTGCGTAAGCTGCCATCTGCGTATGCCCTTGGTTGAGGGTGGGCATCACGCTCGTATCGGCGACCCTTAGTCCCTTCACACCACGGACTCTGAGGCGTTCATCGAGCACTGCGAGAGGATCCGTTGCCTTCCCCATTTTACAGGTTCCCCCGGGGTGGTAGCCTAGTGTCATCGTTGACCTGACGTCCACGAACAATAACGGTGCGAGGAGGGTAGACATGAAGTAGCATTCTTCTTCACGAACGGTTTCCAATCATCCCTCGTCCTCAGCTTATGATGTGTGGCACTATCCGGCCAACTCCCACTTATTGCATCTCTCGCACCGCTCCCCTCCATCACGATCTCGCTGCCGAGCCTACACGCCTCGGCGAGAACCTCCAAATCCAATTCGTCGGAGAGATAGTTGTGCTCGACGACCGGGTTGACCCGGGTATCTCTACTCCGTAACCTCACACTGCCCCTACTCCGTGGACCAAACAGCTCCGGGATAATCGAAAAGCAAGACCTCCCATCATGTGGGAAATCCGCAAACGAGTGTTTTGGACCGCCGTAACACTCTGTGGTGAAGAGCTCGATGTTTGGCTGTTTTGATGTGAGCCCTATGGGGTCCCGCCCAGGCAGACGCGGGGGCGGACTTCCACAACGCAGAGTCAGAGAGTCGTTCGTCGAGGTGAGTGTAAGCACAGGCGCCGAATGGAAATGAAGATAGTGGTCCCTTTTTATGCTCTTTCCAGAGTTTGTACGATGTCTCGAGGGCGCCCGGAGGATATAATTGGTTGTCGAGGGTCAGCCCTGGCTTGTTTACCTCATAGAATATCAAGACGATCTGTTCCATGTTTAGTTTGAACTAGAAGCCACGAGATATGTTGAGACATAGGTAGCGTTACGTACGAGGTGGTCCATGAGATTCTTCCCGACGCCGGGCGAATCAATAATCACTTCTACCCCCAACTTTTCAAGTTCTGCCTTGGGGCCCACGCCGGAGCGCAGGAGTATCGCGGGGGAGCAGTAAGCCCCTCCAGAAATAATTACCTCTCTTCTGGCGGTCAATTTGTGCATTTTTCCATCGCTTTCTATCACTTTCAAACCTGTAGCCTGAACCTCACCGCTAATGTTCCTGTCGAAAACTACGTTGTCAACTAAGGTTTCCGTTTTCAATGTCAGGTTGTCCCCTGCGGCTAGTAGATAGTTCGCCGCAGTGACCCTCAGCCCTTGGTATGTCGTTCTTACAATGTGTCCACAACCATGGGGGTTATCGCCCGTGCTGAACATGTCTGGGTCCAGCAGGATGCCCTTGGAAACGAACGAATCCATTACCATGTTTGATATTGGGGCCAGGGGATACGGCCCTGTGTCTAGAGGGCCTGAAGTCCCGTGGGCCTTTGGGCTGTGCTTCATCCAGTCGCTGGGATGGTAATTCTCTGCCTGCAAACCTGCTTAGTCTTTCTTGACGACTGAATTCACTTCCTCATCTCTTAGCTTTCATATCATACCTTTTCAATACACCTCCAAACATCATCTCCACTCCACCCGGGAAGTTCCCAATCATCGTAATCTTGCTTTGTCCCCCGGATGGACAAAGTCCCATTGCACCCGCCCGATCCACCCAGGAATTTGCCTCTGGTAGCCTTTACTTGACGACCACCAAGACCGGGGTTAGGCTCCCTGACGATATTTCCAGTCAGTGTCAGTGTCAAAGAGTTTGGAAAACCTATTCTTTCCGTAAGCTTAGCCTGCTCCGGGGAGAAAAACTCAAAATAGTTTGGATACCCCCCAACCATGTGCGAATTCTCCAGGAGAGAGTTGTGTTGACCTGCTTCGATGAGGAGCACGGATATATCGCGAGACTCGGCCAGTCTTGCAGCAACCACGGAGCCAGCAGTACCACCACTATAGCCGAGAATTGTCAATTTTCCCTCTCTCTATCTCCCTCTCTTTCACACAAAGGTTGAAGAGCGCAACTAACCCGCAGATAATATAATCATATTCAGTGGTTCCAGCCCTGCAGTACTCGTTATTACCATACTTGCAGTGTTCGTCTAAAGTGGAGGTAAGGGTACAAACATATCGGTTATTGGAAAAACACGGCCTTCGAGAGTGGTAAGCGTTAGTAACATATATGGTATTCTGCTGATGAGAGCAAAGTTTTGAACAGCTACTAGTGATATTGAGAAATCAGCGCAATGGAGAAGAAAAAAAACTCCTATCTTAACTATGCGGGACTCAACAAATAAATATCTACTCTAGAGACAACTTACTTCACCGCTCGTCCGAATACCGTTCCCGTCTGTTGGTTTATCCGGTCAACCCCCCAGTTACTCGAGTACAAGTATATATGGCTGCAGTTCAGTAACTCTACTCGAGTGCTGTACCGCACAGAATGCCGGCGCAGTTTTAGGGGTGGCGGATCCTAGATTACTGGGAAACCGTTCTGAGGATGTATGTATAATACCGGCTTATCACCCCAAAGAGTAGCCTAGAGTAGAGCATTGGCCAAACAGGTTCGAAGGGTGTCTTGCAAGGTCATTAGAACAAAATTGGGATTTAATTTTCTGGTAAATACAGTACGATAGATGATTTACCGTTAGAAAGGCCAGACGCCACCTAACCCTCCAAGTACTCGAGGAAGTGTCGACAACTGATCGCCCCATCAGAGTCCATCCTGTGCGGGTGCTCGTAGGCCCCAATCGTACGAACTGTAAAGTACCCCTACCTAACTCCGACAGATCAAAAACTCCTCACGGCGCGTAGTGATACGATACCGGTATCCATGTTCCTTTCCAACCAAGTATATTACCCGATCGTAGCATGTAGACCTTCTGACCTATTATACATGCCTGTCGAAATCGGTAGTCTAGATTAGTATTGTACTTGAGCGTTGGAGTAACACCACGGGAGAGAGATATCTACTGTAGGATGGCGGTGGGGAGCATGCTGCTCTAAAACCGGAATTGCCGAGGCCTAATTGAAGTGGATTACCGGCAGTTCGACTCCAGGATCCATCCGTTCCTGCTTCTTCGATCGGTTCACAAGTCTCCACATATTGACCCTCTTTTTGCACGGACACACCGTACCGGTGTTCGGGCAGTGGCAGCGTTTACCAAGACGGGTGACTAAAGCTGAGCACCGTAATGGAAACCCCAGAGCCCATTCCCTGGGTGCGCTTTCGAATCCCGTAAAACACCTACCATACTCCAACCGTAACATGGGCTCCCTACCGCCCGTACAGTACTGCGTAGAACATACCGGCAACACTCCACGTAAAGTTATCCCTCGGCATGGATTTAATCTTCAATAAAACCTTCATCAAGCCAGTCCACCACCTCCCCACCGCACACAACATCGTACTACTGTAACCAACCCTTACCAGGCTAAGCGGTGCTGTGCTACACCAGCACAGTACGCACGCCGACAAACAGCACCTGACCCAAGTAAACTAATCACCCAACTCCGGGGATTAGCACAGGGGGTGATAACTCGTGCAATGGCCACTGGCCGCTCTTAATATATGGGTACAGTACAGTGCCGGTACTGTGGGGTTCCGCATGTACTGTACTGTAGTCGTGTATGTAGGGGGTAGGGACGTAGGGTGTAGGGGAAAGTATGGTGGATGTGGCTAACAGAATATCTAGACTACCGGTATTTTTTTGGCAGTCAAGACTTCGCCATAGGTGGGGGGGGCCGCGGGACTCACGGTAATTTTTGGTTCTCTAGTTTTCCATTGCTGAAGGGCTGAGATAAGAGACGTTTGTTATCGCCCTTCTTTTCCTTTCTTTTTTTTTAAAATCCGCTGGCTCAGCAGTTATCCTGTGTTTTTAACATCGTTAACTTGGTTTCGTTGCACTACCGTCGCATTTTGGGGTAAATCCAAGGGTTGGATCTAACGCCGGGGTCACAAAAAATAATATAAAAAAAAACAATTTTAAAAAGTCCCCGGAACACGAGTTTCGTGTCGATGGCCCAAGTTATGGTAGATCCGGCAATATCTAGCGTCTGAGGACATCAATCATAACCACAAGTGAATCACTTGTTTGTTTCCCATTCCGGAGACATCAAAGGTCGTCGAGCACACTGCCTACTGACTCCCAATCCCAGTTGCTCCAGCACAAGATCTGCCAATATACGAGGGCAACCACCTATGGGGGGGGGGATAGCAGGAATGATCGCTTGTTCGGCATGATAAAGAGGGGTCCCGTATCGAGTCGTACTGTATTAATATCCTACCGTAAATTACAGCTGTAAGGTATAATACTGGGGGAAAAAGAAAGAAAAAAGGGTATCTCATAATATAAATCCGATGCCCAATAATAGGGTCTTTCGCCATCAGAGCCCATCCCACATAGAGTTCTGACCAGTTAAGCTTCCTAATAACCAGTTGGATTTCAGATAGCCAACCTGCAGAATTTGGGAGGCGGTTAGACAAAGGACTTGGGGATGGGGCTTCGAAGAAGAATACAGCACGCAGAGGATTCCACTGAGGAAGAGCCGAGTTGGAGCCACAATGTTCTCGTTCGCAATGCCGGGGTTGATGGTGCATTTTTATCGCTGCCCAACCGACGGCGTCTAGCGAATTTACGGCAAGTTACCGTGCTCTATCGCATTATATGTATCAGATACAGTAACTTGGGACTGTTTGTAAACTTACAGTTGGGGCCTTGTGAAGCAGCGGGTGATTTTGTGTGATTGAAAAAAATAAGAAATTTGCAATTACCAAAACAAAGTGTGGATTGTCAACAAACCACCGGATGCAATAGAAACCTCTCTCAAAGCCCAACAACTCTCATTGCAAAAGAAGGAAATGCCCGAAATAATCTCCCATAGGCTTATTCTGCAGTGCTCTGGTAAGATGAGCGGAGCTCAGGCCTTTCTGTTTTGTTGGCAATCGATGGTTTGCTCATCCCTTTTCGGCTCGCAAGGTAGCGAAACAAATAATTGCACTGGGGAGCTATGATATAGTACTCGTATTCCCAGGCACGCTAGGCGTTTTCTAAGGGGGTAGGTATTATGTGGTATGATAGCATTGGGATTCGGGTGCTGGGTTTTTTTTGAATTGGCGAGATTCTTTGCGATGGATGTCATCACGGCCTGGTTCGCCAGATCAGTTGGTCCAAGGAGATCCCCAGTGAGGAATTATCAACCCTGTGATATTGCATCTATAAAGATAGATGAACCCCGGATAGAAAGAGATGATATCGTATCATACTCGAGTATCATACTTGTATGATACTCGTACTGTACAATTCAAACTTACCTAAACCCTTTCCCCGGCGGACTATAGTACGCCACCGCTCGCTTACCCTCGGCTCAAACCTCGGTCCATTCCGAACGTCAGCCTTATAAGAATCCACTATCAAAGCCCCCAGCATCACACAGAAAACACCTCTATCAGTATCAGGGGCCTTTCCCCAGAGCCCCATACCCCCCACGGGATCCCATCATATGATATCATAATAATATTATTATGATACCATCAATCCCCTTTCCCCAAACTTCAACCTACCAAACACCCGAAAAAACAGACAACAAAAATTAAAACAGACTCTTAGAAATGAGATATAACCCTCTCCAGCTCCTCCGGCCCCTCCTCCTCCGAAGAGCCTACACTGCAACGCCAACCCCACCCCTAATCACAAAAACCACCATTCCAGCAGCACACACGGGCCACATAACCCTTCTAACCCTCGCCCGCCCCTCGGCCAAAAACGCCATCTCAAGCGCACTCCTCAGAGAACTCTGCGAGCACATCGCCCCCCTCCTCACCCCAGCCCCACTCTCCCCCACCCGCGCACTAATCCTCGCCAGCAACGTCCCAGGCGTCTTCTGCGCAGGCGCAGACCTGAAGGAGCGCGCAAACTTCACCCCGGAACAGACAGCCACTTTCCTTGCGAACCTTCGAGGCGCACTGCGGGACATCTCCGCCCTGCCGATTCCCACGATTTCCGCTGTCAGTGGACTGGCGCTGGGCGGGGGACTTGAGCTGGCTTTGGCAACGGACTTGCGTGTCCTGGGTTCCCGTGCGCAGGTTGGTTTGCCAGAGACTAGATTGGGCATCATCCCTGGTGCTGGCGGAACATACCGCCTCCCACGGCTGATCGGGCTTTCGAGGGCTAAGGATTTGATTTTTACGGGGAGGAGGGTGGGAGCTGAGGAAGCGTTGGGGTTGGGATTGGCGAACAGGGTTGTGGAGGTTTCGGAGGAATGTGGGGACGGGATGGAGGAGGTTACGAGGGTTGCGGTGGAACTTGCGCAGGAGATTTGTGGGGGTGGGCCGCTTGCATTGAGGATGGGGAAGCGGGCTGTTGAGGGGGGATGCGAGGAGGCGGAGAATGAAGCTTACGAGGGGGTGGTTGCCACGGAGGATCGGGATGAGGCGTTAAGGGCTTTCAGGGAGAAGAGGAAGCCAGTGTTTAAGGGGAGGTAATCACTATTGTTTAGTAGGGGAATTCTGTAAATACTGGGGGATAACCGGGGTAATGATATATATATAGCTAGAGCTAGATTGTAGAGGGTGAGAGCCGAAATGTGTATTGTGGGTGTTCTCGAGTGACAATGTGTGAGCTTAAGGGTTTGAATCGTCAACCACGTCACAGCGTTGTCAAAGAGGCAGTAACCTGTGTGAGAGTGTCAGGCACGTAAGCGGCTATCATACGGTACGGCACAAACTATACACCACTGGACCAAACTCAGGTGCTGTCATATTTTTTTCCCTCAATCCACCTTACACCATCTGAACAGTTACTTTCCGTAATATATTTTTTCCATCATCATAATATTATTATGCTGTAAGAAAAATAGATCATTCTGCTATGGGTATTATATTAAAAAAAATAAACATGTTATCAGAACAAGAAAAATATCTATCATATAACTATCAGTCAGCCTGACAGTAGATGTTGAAAGTACTGATATGAGATAATTGTGTGCCTGAGAGAACATAAACTCATCTAAATATTTTTTTTTTTAAGAATTTTACAATATTTTGTACAAGCATGATTCATGATTCTTTCTCCATATTCTGTGACATGACCCTCATTCTGTCTAGTATAAGGTGTTATTACCCCTTACATCACTCTTTAAACATATAACGGAGACCTGAATTTGGTCCAGCAGTGTATGACACTTATGGGATGCAAACAGTGAGTATTGATTATATAAAGCCACTCTCCTCCCACAACTTGTAGTATCGGTGACAACGCCCCCTCTCAGCACTTACAAGACGAGCCTCCGGCAACACCATTCCCGACAGTTGTGTCCTCAGAAGGGGTTACAAAGTGGGGGATGGAGGAACACGAATCTCCTCCCTTCACACATAGACACTTCCTGCTGATGCCCTAATCCGAGATTGGGTTGATAACAGGTGGAGAAACCGGAGGTCTGCAAACAGCATACCCGCATCCAAGGGAATGTGGGCCTTATTATAAACCCCCCGCGGAAGTTAAGGCCAGAGCAGAGTACCGGTATCCATAGGCAACGGCATGACTAACAGCAATCGCAAAAATTCACACCCCTTCCCAGCTTCCCCCCCCCCCAGATTAGCGTAGTAACACAAAATTCTGATATTGTATTCGAGTATCTCATATTCCCCCTCGAAAACCTACACCTCATGACGAAAAAACCCAAAGAAGGCAAGAAGGAAAGAAGGAAAGGAAGAAAAACAACCAATTAACTATCAACCCCTCCCTAGCAGCCCCCTTAACCCTCCGCTCTACATCATCCACCCTAGCCTTCTTCGCCTCCTTCTTGATGCCTCCCGGCCTTGCCCCCAACCTCACGCGCCTTTCCAGCGGCCTCAGCAGCAGTGCTCTTCGCCTTCCCCGCAACCCCACTCCCAACCCCCTTCGCTCGGGCTGTGGTCCCCGAAACCGTCTGCTTCGCCGTCTCGGCGATCGCCTCGCCGGTTTCAATCCCCTTGAGCGCAGCGTTCCCCGCCACGCGGTCAATCGTCTTGACGGCCTCTTTGGCGGAGTCGGCTATGGATCTCGATAGCGCTGATGTGGTGGTCAGGGTTCGGGTGGGTTTTGGGAGGCGGAGGGAGCGGAGGAGGGAGCGGAGGGCTGTCATCCTTGTTGTTGTTGCTACGGTGGACGTGCGTTTGTTGTTGCGGGGATTAAGTTAATGTTCGTAGCTTTTGTGATGCGTGAAGGGGGAGGGTTTCTGGTGGTGAGTTGAGGGTGGTTGGGAGTTTATATCCCATTTTGGCATTTCTCCATACTGTAGCTGTTGGAGTGCGATTGGGGTGGTTCCTTCGTTGATTGATTATTGAGAACAGTGCCAGTAGTCTTGTGACGTCATTGGGATAACGTACTGGTGATGTCAGAAGTATCTACAGTGTCCTAACTTCCTACCGGTAGTCCTGAGGGCGGTGGGGGGGCAAGCGCTTTCAAAGTTAAACAAGGCGGCGGTGAAAAAAGTCTCTCTTTCTGGAATGCTTTTCTTAGTGCCCGAGGCGTTGGAGAGGTTTCAGGAAGACTGCGAGTCACTCGGGTAAGTGCTACTGGGTCGATTAGGAAATATCACTCACTGATTCTTGGCACCCAGAAACCTAGGATTGGAGGAATGGTGATTGGAGTGCATCAGCGGGAGTAACTTGGACCGTGAGTTAAGAGGTAGGAGTAAGGGAATGCAAATAGGGTCCGCTGAGGAAGCTGGGAAGCTTTAGAGGAAAGTCGTTTTTTTCTATTCACGTATACTGAGTAAATACTTCATCTGAATCGTACGAGTACCCGTAGAGGTATGATACTGCAGACGATTGGTAGATTAGGAGCGGGTTTGTTAGGGTTAGCCAAGTCCATAAGTTTGGACAAGATTAGATTAGTCTAGTGATCAAGCGGACTACCGTACCATTCGTAGATACCGGTATCAGGCGCCGCAGTGATGTCCAGTGAGTGTTAGACTAACTTAATATCTACCACAGCAGGTAAATATTCCATCCATAAATTTGCATCCCTTCGCACAAAGCAATACCATCCGGATCCCCAAACCCCCAGAAATCTAACATTTATCATACCGCACAAGACCTCATTTAACTTACAGTACATCCACCCTTTCCATCCCCCACTTGGGGCGATATCCACCTCAACCCACCCAAAAGACAGTACTCCGCCACCTCCTCCCCATCTGGCCACTCCCGCACCAAAATCCCAATATCCCTCAACACCTCCCGCCTAACACTATCCTCACTTTCCTCCCCCTGCTGATGCTGCTCTCCCTGTTTCCCAGCCGGGACTTCCAGAAACACCCTCGCGGCAACCATTACCCTCCTGGCCATCGGTTTATCGCCGTCATCCAGCCAGTCCGCGGCAGCAGCCCACTCGATAATCCTTCCGATATCACGGTACCTTCTCGAGAAGCCGAGTAGCCGGACGTATGCGTGTAAAGTAGCAGGCGAGGGCGTCAGTAACGGGGGCAGTTCCTCGTCCGCGATTAGTAGTTTCGGCTTGTGTAGGCCAATGTTTGTTTCGAAGATGTGGATGACCTGGTCTACCGGATCTATGCCGTCCCAGAGTACGTTTGCCCCCAGACGGATATTCTTCTCCGCGGCGACGCATAGCGCACGCAACGTTTGCGAGTCTTCGCTGACGAGGCGGGTCATTTTCTTGTATACTTCCCAGATTATGCGAATCCGGTTTGGCTTGTCGTTCGCTTTCCTGGAGTCAAGTGTTCTGGCGAGTCGCGTGAGGGTGGCGTTGTATGCTGGGGTGTAGGTTAGTTTATGCGCTAGGAGGAGACGGATTGCCAATTCAATTTCGTCGTTCCTGCGGTGGAGGAGGAGGGATATGTATGCTGTTAGGATGCGCGGGTCTGTGGGCTTCGCGGAGGGGGAGGGGGAGGGGAGAGGATAGCCCCATGTCTCTAGTATCCGGTGAGCGTAGTTGAGGTCGCTGCTATGAGATATTAATAGTGCGAGGAGGCGGGGACTTGGAGGGACGTTGTCCCTTTTCATCATCATGAATAGCTCGTCTGTGTCTGGTGGGGGGATAGGGACGTATACACCTTCATTGATGTTCCTCGGGGGCGGGAGGACTTCTTTTGCCTCCCCTGCGACGACGCGGTAGTTGCTCTCCCTTTGCAGGCGGCTTAGAGTGTCAAGACGGGGCTTTTCACAGAGAGGCCTTTTCCGCTTAATGCAGTCCGCGTGCATCTGCTGGCGGGTGAGTTTCTCGGCGTAAAGGGCTTTTGCAATGAGCTCTTCCCAAACATCACGACGAGGGATCGTGCCGTTCTGCCTACAGTCGAGGAATATGGCCCATGCTTCGTCTATAGTACGGGTAGCACGGATACGGGAGGCCCAGATGGAGGTCGGGGAGGACGAGATGAGGTGCCGGAGTCTAAGGTGAAACGTTCTAGTCTGAATGGTAGGTGTATTGTCCGTATCCTTGCCTGCGAGAACCAGGGCCGAGTATTCCCAATCATGGAGGGGATAGCCTGCCTCTGTCATCCGCTGAATCACCTCAGCAGCACGAGAGATTCGGGGTGGGAGACCCTCCCGGCCATCCCTTTCAAACGGCCAGGGTGGCCAGGTTGTGACCATATCCCGAACGGTCTGTTTTTCGGGAGGTGTTTTAGCATGGGCCAGTTGGACAATTACTATCGCTCGATAGCCTTCTCTTACAAGAGGGATACCCATGGCAGCCATCTTGCGCAGGATCAGAAACTGGCTGCGTTGAAGGATCGGAAGATGAGCGAAGGGTCCGTCGGGTGTTGGTAAGGAGAAGCAAGTCAACAGGCGGTTATAGAGCCTGGTTAATCGAGATGGAGAGCGTGGTCTTGAGGTGTCTGGCCGGTGAAGATGTGTTACAAGAAGTTTGGCGACTATAGAGATAGCGGGAGGCCAGGTCGAGCGTACTCTCCGAAGCAAGCGGAGGAGGAGGAGAACCGTCGTCTTGTCTTCGGAAATGGAGAGATGGTTGGATGGGAACAGCACGCTCTCAATCATTGGAAAGAGAGCTCGGACGTTGTCCCGAATGAAGTACTTCCGCCGGAGCGTAAATAAGATAAGAAACGGGGGAATCCGGTATGTATGCCTTGCTCCTGTTGTATTCCGGGGCGATGATAGTTGCATATTCTTTGTGTCGTCCGAGTCAAGATCTTCACCGCCATGAGATGATTGAACTCTTTCCTCTCCCGGAAGCTCGGCATCCAGAATATCCTGCTCCTCTAACGATCTATCCACCATCTCGTTCCTAACCCTTGTGCCCAAATCCAATCTATGCCCCGCCAGCCCGCCATCTCTAGCAGTGAGAACCCATGCCCACACTAATACATCCTCAGGTGTATATCCCCTCTGCTCTAAATAGTCTCTAGCACCGGAGGTGAAAACCCCTCGAAGGACCATCTCGTCATGATCCTCACTGAGGTTACCCGCACTCTCTAGCACTGGAAATCTAAACGACGAGTGAGGGTAAAGTTTGTATATATGATAAATCAGGCTCATTGTGATGCTCTTTAGCGAGTAGCGTTCCCTCTGGATCCCATCTTGATCAATATACCTCACTTTCACCCCCCCAAAGTATGACCTTTTCAGCGCTCGCCCAGGTTCAGCCAGCCGATATCTGTCCTTATTAGACCTGCGCCTAGGCTCCAAAGGATCCACGTGCGAGAGGTCAACCTTGCCCGATGCCTTCCGAGGGATGTCTCTTGCGTGACCGGTGCTCCTCAGTAGGGAGAGTAACGAATCATCCCCTCCATTGGAACTAGAAACTCCATCCCTTCCCCACCTCTTCTTCCCAGCCGCCCGCCCCCCGAGTTTCCTTTCGGGATTCTCTCTCGAATTCTTGTTCTGGGCCGCGTTCCTACCCTTGACACCGCCCCCCGCTTTAAAGTCTCCATCATCGATTTCCCGCTCTAGGCCGGCCTTTCCTTTCCCACACCCCTCGGTCAATTCTGAAGCAGAATTCCTTCCCAATCCCTTCACCTGTAATTTGCCAGTATCCAAACATCCACCTTGAACAATCCAATCGAGACGGGAGAGTAGCGTATAACTCAATGGACGGCGAAGAAGTACCCTATGCAGCGGCAAGCCGAGTATGGGAAGTGACATTCATCGAGGTCTCCTCAGCGGGTGTTGGATGCCGGAGACAAGCTAGTCGCAGGGAAGGGATTCGTTGGATTCTGTTAAGAAGGAAAAAATTGAAGGATCGACGGGAGAAATGCTTAGTCATCACGATCGAGAAACGTTTTTCGATAAGATGCGATAATATTATTATACAAAGAAATACCGGCAGAGACCTAACTTTGAGATGGAGGGTTCATGACATTGTATGGCAGCTGTTTTTTTGTTTATTTTTTCGTCCCTCCCCCGAGCGAGGGAGGGGAGCGAAACCGCATCTTTGTTGCAAAAGAAGGTGAGGTTTAGGTTTCTGGCTGTTGTCATGAGGGAGGGAGGGAGGCAGGCGGAGATGTTCATGTGCGGCGTAGAGCAAGATAGCATCTCCGCTTTTTCGCCTTTGACAGCTCAATCCGCCGGAATATCAGAATCTCTGGGAACAATAAAATCGGGGTGGGCGGATCCTCCCACCAAAGGAAGGAGCGAAAACAACTCTCTAGACACGATATAAACTTATTATTGCGTGATATTGCGGACTATCTCGTCTTATGAAAGGAAAACACCTTCAGTATCTCGGTTATACGGGGTACACCGCCAATTGGCACCAGTGTTGGTTGATTCACGGCCGCCCATTGAGCAGTCAATTACTTTCCTCTTCGGGTTAAATTGGTTATACAAAGCAAAGATCAGCAAATTTGTTACCCCATTTGGTGATGTCTCGCCAAGCCTTTACTTGATACAGTTAGCTTGGGTCATGTTAATTTAGCAGCTCTCATACGAAAATAACAAAACTTTGAATCTCCCTATCATCATGGCAGGCGGAAAATTCCTTTGAATCCTTCCACAGTCCTCCAGATATGATGAGAAAGTGGTAAATCCTTTCACCGAAGATTTTGAGCTGAGGGTTTGCGGCAGGTGGTTGTTGAGCCAGGGGAGCTTGAGGTTAGCCGTGTTAGGGGGTTGGTTAAGGCAGACGAGGGGAATTTCAGGTCGCGACTCCAACGAATGAATGAGGACAAAGAGACCAAAACCATCATAATCACACACAGTTCGGATGCCGTGCGCAACTCTACAAGACAGAAAAATAAGCAAGAATAATGAGGGGAATTTCCCATCATTTTTCTTCCTTACTTTCCCTCCGGAAATGGGAGAAGTAAAAGTACTCGAGTATGATACACTTTACCCCCCCCAAAAAATCACCTTTAGCTCGTTGCAGCAGCCTCGCTTCCCTCAAACCATTCTCTAGCTTACAGCAGTCAGTCGCGTCCCCATTCCAAACTGAATCTTGTATCCTCACTTTCTCCTCACCTCAAATTCTCTCATCTTTCCCCTAACTTACCTCCTCCTTTCCCTTTGTTCCGCTAAAAGCCTCTTTGACGGTCTTCCTTTCGCCGTTGTATCTTATCCCTATCATGAGGGTTTGTGGTTAATTCGAAAACTTTTTGTCGTTCCCCTGTCCACTTTTACGTCGCAACCCTTCCAATTCCCCTTCTCTCCCCCACCCGATTCTCCCCTTCGCAATCTTTACTGGCACAACCCACATCGGTTCTCTCTCCCTCTGAGGTTACGCTTTGTACGGCCGGTACAAGCTCTCTCTCACATTCATTTCCCTTGACATTTTTTTCTTCACATTCTTTCAAACAAAAAAAAAAAAAAAAGTTAAGCCAGCCCGGATCCGGATTTCTGATCGGATAGCCAATCGGCGAGTTTATTTCTTCTCCAAGCCAAAAAAATTTAAAATTTAAAATTTAACCCCCATCCCCTCACACAAATTCGACCCCACACCACAAACCATCCGTACCGCGGACTCCCCGTCGTAGTTTGTCCCCATCGCTGGACGCTGTACTTTACTATCATAAGCTGCAACCAGCTGCAACATACAACCACAGCAATGGGAGCCGCAAACTCTCCCTCCCCCGCGCCTGTAGCCGTCCAAGACGCCGCCGCCGGTAACTCGGCCACGACAACCGCATGTGCATCTGCTACCGGGAACGACTCTGCGATGGATGCCTCTTCACAGCAGCCACAGCAGCCCCTGTTTAGTCCTGCTTCTGCTAATGCAAACTCGAGCACCGGAAAGCGCAAGAGAAGCGGTTCACCTTCACCCTCCGCCTCCACCACCTCAACACAACACCCATCGCCTACAAAGAAGAAACCCGACGACTCCAAAAAGTCCGCTGGCGATTCCACCATGATCACGGTGGTAGAGGATAGGGCGTCCCGGAGGTTGCTGTTTATGGAGGCTACCATGAGAGATCTATTGACCCTCCTGAAATCGTGAGCCTTTCCGGGTCTTTTCCTTTGTTTTCAACTCATCTTTGTACCCGGCTCTTCTGACACGGTGCAGACATGATCCTACTCCTTCCATCCTTCGCCATCCGATCCCAAACAGTATGCCTTCGCCCTCCGGAGCGCCTCCTATCAAGCGCACCAAGATTTCGCCTTCGTCGCCCAACACGCTAGCTGAGAAGCTGTTGCGGGTGACATACACGTCGCTAACTACCCTGCTTTCCGATATCAGTGCTGTTTGTCGCGAATTGCTAACTTCCGCTGATAACGAACGGTCGAACGGTATTCCCACCAATGGCACCTCTAGCATAGGTTCCTGCAGCGGGCTTCCCTTCGTGGCGCAAGTTATTCACTTTGAGGAGTTGGCGAAACAAGTGATCACGCGAGAGCGTGTACGTAGAGCCGATTTGTTTGATTTTGTTGAAGAGGCGTCTGGGGATTCCGTCACCACAAAGCCCGTGGGAAGTAGAGGAAAAGTAGCATTGACCGTCATGGGACAGCACGGCCCATTGTTTTCATCGTTACAGAATCCTGTCAACGCTCTACCTACGGGTGATTCGGTACCTTCGTCAAGATCCACTTCAGCATCCGCATCTCCCAAATCCTCCATCTCGACAGTTCCAACATCGACTGCGACTTCTCCTAAAGCCGAGTTGTTGAATGAGCGCCCTGTTTACACTCCACTAAATGAATCTCATCTTCCTCCGCTTATCTCCACAGTCAAAGCAATTCCATCAAACGGCCAAATTCTGAGAGGTGGGAAAAGACTCCCAAGCAAGGAGGGAGCTAAGGTTTCAACTTTGGGTGAAGCATTTCCTGCGCCTCGCGGGTTGCCACCGTTGCTTCCTCCAAAGCCGGGTCAGCCTAGTACAGTAGGACTGAAATGGGGCGGAAAAATTGGAGTTGGAGGTATCAGGTTGGAAAATCCGTTGAATGATAGACCCGAGGGCTGTGGTGACTGGCTCTCATATAAGAACAATTTGCCTTCGAATCATCCGTTAGCCCGACATGAACCGCCCCGGTCGAGAGCACCGTTGCCGGCAGATCTTGTAGCCGCGTACAGTAGCTTTGCACCTTCTAGGGACGACTCTGGATCGAAGATTCCAGCTGCGGTTAGGAACCGGGTATGGTGGGATAGAGCCGGAAAGCAAATTTTTGCCGAAGAATTTGCCGATGATTTCTCTCTTCACCAGATGCATAGTCGGTCTGATGAAAAGGCCGCTGTGGTTGAGGCTCAGACAGAAGAGATGGACCTGGATGAAGAATTCCGGAAAGTGATTGATGATTGGGAACCGGACAAGGAAATACCTATAGATACCAGATTGCTTAATGGAATAGAGGGAGCGGAGGCTATTGTAGATGGGAAGAAGAAAGCGGGTGAGGAGGGCAGAGCAGATGTGGACACTGCAGGTACAGAAGGTGACCCGGAGAAAATACTATCGGAGATATCCAACTTGCTGCAAAGCTTGCGCAGCCAGCAGTATACCCGCCTGTCCGCCCTTCCTGTTGGCCAGCCCTCCAAGCCTGGAACCGGAAATGCACCGGTGCTCGGTACACCCTTAGCGCCCGACGAGGAAGAGATCGGGTTGTACAATATCATTCGGGATAGGTTAATTCGACTCATATCCAAGCTCCCACCCCACCTGGTAACAACCATCGACGGTGACCGCAGCAGTGACCTTACCCTTAGCAGCAAACTCCCCGTTCTCGGCGGGCCCATCTTCAAGGGCACTCTCCCCGCCGATGAATCCCACCCACCAAAACTCTCGACCCCGCAAGTCCAAGGCGCGGCAATGGCCGCAATGAACGCAGCTGCTGGTCTCTCTCCCGTCAATAGCGCACCCGTGGCACACATGTCCCCGGCTCGCAGTCAGCACCATCACCACCACCACACCCCAAACACCTCCCGTCCAATGTCTACCCTACCAAACATCAGCGTGGACGCCCAATACCACGGACACCAGATGCCCCACTATCACGGGCACACAATCCCCAGCGTAACAACTCCACACCACTACCCATCCCCATACGCCCCCGCCCCATCACCAATCCCCACACCAACCCCACAGGGGCAATACCAACCTCCGCCCCCACGCATCGTCAGCCCCCTCAATCACCGCCAACCTGCCCCCCAACAGCAATTCCATGGACACAGCTTACCTGCGCAGACATACCAGAACCCCCCCCCCGCGTACCAGGCCCAACCACACTCGCGGCGCACTGGGGTCCCACCTCCACAAGGACTTGCGGCAGTGGGGGTTGGCTATAGCTCGCCTACGTACAACAACGCTGGGTTGCGTATGGGTGTACAACATACCCAGCAGAGTATGGGCCCCGGAGCCATGTCTGGGGGGAGGTATGCTGGCAGACGGAGGTAGAAATTCTATTGTCTTTCTCTTTTCCCCTCCAATTTCTAGTTTTCTCTGAAACGGAAAACAAAAAGATAAAGGCTTGGGTTTATTCTTGCTTTGTCTATTTTTTCTCTTCATCTCTTTTCTTCACCCGGATGGTCGTGGTAGTTCGAGTGGTTCTACTACTTATTACCTTGTATTTTTTTTTTCTTTCCATTTTTTTCACTTACTTTCCAATGATACTCTTTTTTTTTTTTTGATTTTTTACTCGACTCTACTCTTCTTGTCCTTCCCTTGCCATTACTTTTCTGTTGACTAACTTTTTTTATCTTTTTTCCCTTCTCTTTTCCCAACTTGCCACTATCTTGCTCTGCTTCGCTACTTGTTCCGGAAATCAAACTAAATTCTGTTTATTTTTGTTCTCTTCTGTCCCTTCATTCCTACTTTTCCATTCGTTCGGGAATAAAAAAAATTTGACTGGTTAGTTGGTGGGTTAGTTGGTCCCCTGCTGTCGATGTATGCATGCAAAAGCTGTATGCTCTATTCGGAGATGGTTTAATTTAGTTGGTTAGTTTGTCAGCTGGTAAGCTGGTATGATTATTAACAATTCGGTTTATAGAGATGTTTAGTTGCTGTATTGTTGTGAAATGTAGAGTAAAGCAAGGCTCGGTTATGGCATGGGTTGGAGATGGTAATGACAAGTCGTAATTGCAGCGGAGCGGTGATGTGGTGCGGGTGTGGGTGCGGGTGCGGGTGACCCCTCCGCTGATAATACAACACTCCCATGGCGCAAGGTAGCCAAACCCAACAACAGTCGCATCATTTCCCCAGACGTCTATCGGTGCTGTCTAAACTGATAATCCCCCCCCCCCCAATTCACCGTTAATCCGGCACAATACTGCCCAGTGCACCCACCTCCCAGCAAGCCAATACCTCATCATACTGCCACAGCAACAGAAACAACCCAGACAACAACCATACCATACCAACGCGCAACCACGTGACCCCGCGCCACACGTGTTACAGCCCTTCGCCTCGCCTCACCTCACCCCACCTCACTCCATCTCGGACAAAATACAGTTATCACAATGTCAAAAACAATACAATCTTACTCCTTTTGCTCACTCCTGGAGTATGGTGGATGTTGTTCATCCATGTTAATTTGCTCGCTGGCTTGGCATGAAAAGGCGGGGATGGGCCCAGGCGGGCAGTGGTGTGGATGGTGTGGTATCTCGCTTGGTGTATATAAGTGCACGAGTGGACAAACCGATCAAGCCGGCATATCGTAAAATCCAGTATCGTATCGTTCGTTGGCACAGTAACAACAGACTGTAAACTAGGTAATCACAGCCAATCACTCGGACTCGGAGAATCAGCTCGAACACCGACAATACTAACCCCCCTTCCCTATTTTCTAGCTCACACAGAGCTACAGTATCACAAACATTGCCAACCGGTACCCGACTCATCACCCGTTCAAAAAACAACCTATGATATCTATGATACCGTACGACCCCTCATTACCCTTCCCTCCAAGATCACAAAGCAGCAATATCCCCTTTTCTCCCCCCTAGAACCTCCTCCATATACTCCATGAGCTCCCCCTCCCTGGTGCTCTTTCCGCCACGACCATAAATCCCCTCAAGTTCCAGCAACCTCCTAACTGTCGGAACCGTGCTCTCCTCGAGGGATCTATACTCACCACCTAGCAACTCCCTCCCGGCCTCAGCGTCGATATCTACCGGCGGCTTATCCCGCACGCCATTGTCGGCCGGAAGGCGTCCGCGGAGTTCCACGGGGAAGTGCCTTTCCATTATTTTTACCACGGCGGTGACGGAGTAGCCGGGTGTGCTCAGGATTATGCGCTGGTTCGCAGCCACGGGGGAGGTTAGTGCTTGGACATGCGCACGGGCTACGTCCCGAACGTCGATCTGCGGTAGTGGGTGTTAGCACAAAGGAGGGGTGGAGTGGGGGAAGGGGGGGATACATATTCGGAGAAGGGGGTTGGGGGGATTTCATTGAAGGTTCCGTTTAAGAGAGAGTATAGACCATCTGTTGAGAGGTTGGTTTTAGATAGGGAGGTTATTGGCTGGATGCAGGGTCCTATTATTTGGCTTCTGGCGTAGCCTGTTAGTAACGCGTGCGTGAGACTGTTGTATTGGGTGAGAGAGAGAAAGGGGGTAGTCTCACGGTAGCATCACAGAAACCGAAAAATGCAGACTCTTGGTCTTGATATACTCCCAAACAACCTTCTCCGCGGATGTCTTTGCGACGCAGTAATTGATCAACGAACTCTTAGCCCCGCGAGCCATCTCTTCGGTGGTCTTTCGATAATTAGCCCAGTCCGTTCATTAAACAAGAATCCTTGACAAACGCCCAACATACCGAACTCCAATCGCGAGAAGTAAACCTCTTCGAAGGGGCTACCCCAGCCGCAGGATCAAACAACCCCAGAGCACATATGGAAGAGGTAATGGAGATATGCTTCACCTTCCTCCCAAAATCGCTGGCAGCATTCAGAATTCCCAAGTTCCTGGAATCGCATCAGCACTGCACACTCCTTCGTGTAAAAAAAAGGCAGAGCGAACCATACCCCTGAACATTCGGCTTCAAGTAGTGCTTATCAAAGTCCGTGTTTTCTTCTGACATCAGCGGGGCGGCGGTGTGGACGACATAGTCGTATTCGGTCTCTTTGAATATCTGGTCCCAGGACTCTTGCTTGGTGAAGTCTGGCAGGACAATAAACCTGACGCTCCCTTCGTACTCGGGATTGAAGGAGCGGCTTAGGTTGGCTTTTTCTTCAGACCGGACGGTGCCGGTAACATGATAGTTTGCTTCTACCAGTTGCTTCAGGACGTGCGCTGCCACGTAGCCGTTCGCACCTGTGAGGAGGACTTTCGGCTTGGTAGTGGTGGTGGGATTTTCGACTGCCATTTTTGGTGAGTTGGGAGAAGAGAGGTGGAAATTTGGGAAAGGTGCTCTTATAAGTAGACCAGATGTAGTGTGGGTTCATTGAAATGTTGGCTCTTTGATAATATTATGGATGAAGTGGAGGGGGTGCCTGAGACCTTATAAAGATCTCGGGGCTATCACCTACACCCACTATTCCATTCTATGTCCTGGCTGATCGACCTCTAAACCGCCCTGACCAGACATCGAACCTGAGCCGCCAGAAGTGCGAGACCGTGTTCCCTGCGTACTCAGGTGCGGTTACAGGCTGGAAATGTGCTTCGACAACTCCGTGATGAAGCAAGCACAAGGCGTGTGCCCGAAGCCTCTTCCGGCATACCCGCAAGCAATCTACCCACAGCCTATGGGGAAAAATAATCCACCCAAGGCATGGCACACTGTACTCAGTAGGCAGCTGCCGAACGATACGGCACCGCGCTCGGGGTTTCGAAAGGCGGTCACTCTGAGATTGCAAGCTTTGACGTGATCGAACCCGAACCATTTCGGCAAAGAAAGGTTACCGGGTTATCACAACATATATCCCTCGCTTCGGTAAGCTTGCGAACGCACACCATAGGATAGCGGAGGTTTGTTGTGACCTTTCCTACTTGTTAACCTTTAGCATACGATATAAGCCACCGCGCTTAACTCGTAACACCAGATATTTTATCATGCCTGATCACTCACCATCTTCCACCACATTCTTCCTACCGTCGCCTACTGAAGTAGCACTATCGCATTGCGGGTACCCACAGTCGTGACTTCAAAACCACCATGTGAACAACTTTCAGGCTTAATGACCAAGACCACTCTCTGCGTGAGTGTATTCGGTGCATCGCAGGGGAGTGGACTCTCTTACTATACCACGCTGTAACCTATTATACCCTACTTAGTACCGACATGGTAAATGTAGGGGTGTTTATCCTACCAGAGTTGCACGGTTCTGGTACTGTACGAGTGCTTTTCTGAAAGAAGATCTACATTGCTTACTAGTTTAGTTTTTCATCCAAAATTGCTACGCCTCCACTCCGCAGCGATGCACTTCCTACTTTCGTGGGTCCATGATTGGGACGAACTCATCTCGATTAACTTAAACCCGAAGGTGACAGGTAAGGTAAGAATCGGCGTAAAGCTGGGTGACTAAACTCGCGCATTCTGATTCTGGGGTGATTTAATAGTACCGGTAACTCAAGCCAATGTCCAACCATTTGAAGCGCACCAAGTCAAATCACTTGCACCCACCAAAGATAAAGTTCCCCTGAGCCAGAGTGGTCGAGTTAGTATCATACCGTACCAAGGCACAAATCCAAAGGACCTATATTGATAATGTCATTACCGCATGCCGCATGATTGGGTGGCCTTGTCATGTATGAATTAGTACGGTTAGGGTTAGGGTTTGGAAATGCTGAACAGCTGGTATGATAAGCTCCTCATTTTTCGTGGAGTCAAGTATCATAGCGCGATTGGAGTTTTCATATTTCCCAATTAAAGGGGAGATGATGATTGGCCCGACAAGCTCGCCCCATCAAGGATGTGGTGCCCGATTGTCAAGGAAGAATGTGTCCTATCATTGGACACGGTTTATGCTAGGTTGGTAGCTAAACAAAGATGTTCGAAGACGGCTGTGTCCAACATGAGCGCCTCCCAAGCTAGCCTTCCAGGCC